ACTAATCATTATGCACGTGTTTTTATTTAATATAGTGTATCTATACTTTTTTAATAAAAAACATAAGGTCCTGGATCTCATTATTTTGGCTTTTGTCTTAAGCATATTTGCATGTTCACAGTATTTTTTTTGGTAAGTTGTGTCTTTACCTTAGTGTCGATTATCGATGTCTTTGTTCGAATTATATACAGATGTATAAATGTCGATTTTGATGAGTAATTTTGTTTTATGATTTTCTGTAACTTTTTTGCCTTTGAACCTCTTCAATATTATCTTTATTTCTTTGCACTTTTATATACAAGTACCTGCACTTATACTGTATCTTTTTCTTTAGATAAATCTTTGTATTTGCTAACCAGCCATAGACATCTTTAAATTTAATTTGGTGTTTTATTACTGTCATATTTTTAAGACATACGAGTTTTTTATCTATACATTTTTTTCTTTCAATTAAAAATTAAATTTCATTAACTTTTTTATCTCTATGCTTTATTAACTCCTCTTTATATCAGTGTCTTTTCTTCAACTGTCTACCAACCACAGCATCTTTGAGTTGGTGAACCTCTTTTTTATATTAAAGTTAATTTTTTCCTTTTCGATTTTTTTGTGCATCACTGTCTCAATATTTTTAGTTTTACATATTATATTTAAAATATTTTAGAATTTTTTCCATCTCCGAGTCCATATCTAAATATTTTTGTTTTTGTGCAGTTGCCTCTATGCTTAGGTATATTTATTTGTTTCTGTTTCTAAGCTTTAACTATCTTTGTGTCTGGCTTTTCGTACCAATTACAAAATTTGTACTTGTATCTCTATACTTATGTGTCTTCTCTTTTGCTTCTATTACTTTAAATGTTAGTAGCAGAGCATATACCTTCAGATTAATTTTTAAGAATCTTTATATTTTTTACCTTCGTGTATAATAGTTTGTATGAATTATTTTTGTGCTTCTTTCGTTAACTCTCCATGACTCGTTCTTTGTATGTATGTACATTTATATGCGTCTACTTCAGTACCTCCATGCATTCATCCAAACGTCTATGTATAAGTATTTCCATCATTATGTTCCCTGACTCATTATTCGATCTTTCAAGTTTTTGTCTAAATTCGTACTTTCGTATTTATCTTTCTATATTATTATTTTTTCTTCTGTCTAGGACTTTTTGTTACTGTTATTTTTAAAAACATCTTTCAATAATTAATTTAACTGGATACATAGTTTAGTGGTATAATTAGATGAATAAAATAACAATAAAGTATTGTACATCAAACGATAATAATGAAATATAAGTGAGACATGGATCTATTTTTATTTCTTGTAATGCTTTCGGCATCACGTGACTATGCCACAAGTATTTTTACAATTTATTAGAGCACATTTATTAATTAACTAGCAACCATAACCGTTCCATTTCAACTACTATTACAAATTATCATATTCTTGTAAATAAAAAGAGATAAGTATAAATTTTCTTACTCTACTCAGGATAACCAGTTTTTTTATAATAATTTTGGAATATGAGAGTGGAATTAAAAAATTAATAAAAACAAAGAATTATCCAAAAATTAATAAAAGTTAGTTTATTGAAATTACCACAACTTTGGATGAAAATAGCATATAACCGTGTTCATTATAAATACCAAAATTATACATCCCAATATAAATTAAAAAATAAACAATATGATGTTGCCTATATTTTTTCAAAGGTAAATTTTCTTTAAAAATGTATTTCCCTTTTTCTTTCTTATGGTTTAATCGAATTTTCATATTAATTTGCTTTAGTCTCTTGAGTGATAAATTTGCAATCCTAAAGTTGTATAACATCGTGAATTTGCCGTTTAATATTTTCTCTATCTATTTTTTACACGTTTAATAAATTTGATTGTATTTTTTTTTCGATTTCATGAATACTCAAAGATCCAGGCTACATATCTCAAGTTATTGTTGCTACAATTGCTTGACATTACATAAGTGATGGTAAAGGTGCATGCTGTCACGTTAAGTTAATCGATAGTAAAGACAAATGTAACTGACGTGAGCTGTACCCGTTTTTATTTGCGTTACCATTTCCACGTGTATTTTGTATCTGTGGTTGATACTGTATTTTATAGCATCTGTATCTGAAAGAACACCGAGAATATATATCGTAAAAAGTTTACAGCATCGATAATTTTGATAACTGTGATGCTATGCTTCATAATAATTTCAATATGCCTTCTAATTAAGTATCTTACATAAAAATTGACAAGCACAAATTATTGTAAAAACTATGACTGTTGTAGGCTTAATAAAAATTTCATGTCAATTAGTGTACAAAAAAAATTTATATCATTATAGTGACGATGGATTATTGAAACAACTCTAGTAGTTTATAGTCAGTAATTGCGAGAGAAAGAAAGCACATAATTTTAGATGTGTCACTTGAATTATTGTCAATTTATTTTTTCCTTCATATTATATTGTTTTATGCACAAAAATGTATAAAACATCAAAGTGAAATACGTACTTGTCTAAAAAATTTTATTTACTAGTATTCTTTCAACTCGACTTCAGATCAACTTTAGGAAAAAATATTTGTAATTGATGTTGAACTCAAACACGTAAAAATATTCACGAGAAGCACTCACTCTATTAACGTTGGGTAATCTGCTTAAGTTCATACTCTTAAATAAACAACTTCAAGCTTGCCAATAAAACTGGAACAACTTTTTTACATGCTAGTATTTTAACATAAACAATAAAACTTAATTTATATAATATTTTTGGCATATTTTAATTTATGGCCATCTATCCTCCATTTTGGGGGGGGGTGTAGCTTGGCCACTATTGTGTGCTGCTACAACTGGGTGCGGAAAAAACAGGGGAAAAATGTTTTTTTTTTTTTTTTTTTTTTTTTCTAATAATTATTATCTTTTTAANAAACTCTTTTTTTAGAAGTAGACTTACAGTGCAAGTCAATAAATTTGGAAAATAGTTTGAAATCGGGACATTCCTGGTTGGACCATAAGTTATATTAAAAACATCAAAAATAATGAAGTATAGGCTAAAATCAATAGAAAATTCAGTGCATTCTATTTATTTACAACCTTATTTCTACTGTTCTACATAATATTCTTGGAATTGTTCTTAAAAAAATATAAAACAAAGTTTAATAACCTTATCCTTTTGCTAATCTATTTTTATGATTTGGTGCCAAGGATAATTAAAATAAATACTCGCCTCGAACTTGCTATAATTAAGCGGCGCCTTTCGTACGTTGCATTAGATATATAACCTACGAGATGAGTTTTAAGCTCTTCTATCATGCCTAATAATACATCAGTTTGCACACTACTAATATATACATGATGGAAGACATTTCATCAATGGGCGACAGCTTGGTAAACTCAAAGTTACGTAAAAGTGTTTGGCAATGACTCTGATGTTTTTTTTTTTTTAATTCACGTTAATATGATTTCAATATTAACCTTCATAACTTTTATACTTTATTTTAAATTTGCAATGTTGGACTTTAATATTCAGTATGGGTTCGTTTACTCAGATACATCAAGCTAAACTTGCAGCCCGCAATTTGATACAAAAAATTGAATTAGTATAAATCTTTTGAATCTCACTTGCAGTATTTGACTCACAATAAATCCAAAATGAAAGGATCTAAGACAAAGACCATATAATATAAATAACAAGAGCAGAGCCTCATGGGACCCATGAGAATATCTCAGTACAACTGTAACGCATGTGGAGGTAAAAAATAAAAAAAAAATTAACACAAAGGAGTTACTAAAGTTATTCACCTTAAAAATATCTTTTATTTAAAAAAAAGTAGAATAACAAAATACAGTTCTATATGCACATCAATTAAAATATACTGCATAGACCAATAAATTCGTATATGATGTAAACTGACACTGCGTCCTCGCATACTTATTACTCGTGAACTATACATCATAAATTCGCAGAAGCAAAAAAATATCTCACGTCTTAACCTTGATACGAAAATAATCCGCAGTAAAAAAAGCCACGAAAATTGCGCAGGGAATCAAATAAATAACCCCCTCCCTGTCAACACTTGAAAAATAGTAAATCTGCCCAACAGTAAAAAAAATAACTTAAAGCTCCCTTGTAATTCTGACGAAAGGTAAGTATATGAGCGCCAGAGCATTAGTCGAAATGCACGCGTGCATATTGTATCCGCCCACACCTTATCGCTCTTTTTCTCTCTTTTTTTTTTTTTGCTGTACAGAAAAAAAAGAAACAGATGGATTAGCGATAAAGTGCGAACTTGCTGCAACGTTGACGTAGAGGAGAAGAAGAGGAGAAGCAAGTTGATGAAGAAGGAAGCACTTGAGGGTAGAAAGAGGAGAGACGACGGCCGCTGCGTGTGAATGGTTGAAGCAGGTGCTCTCGTCATTTCTATTTTTAAAAGAGTAGTGCAGTATATATATATGTGTGTGTGTGTAAGCTCGAAATGAGCGATATGGTATAAATGTATATGCTATATAGGCACACGATGGCTTTGACGATTCTTTTGAACGGTGGTGCGTAACTCCCGAGCAAATCACGGCACGTCGTACCAGGCTTCGGCTGCGGAGTAATTAAAAGGAGACCTAAAATTTTTTTTCTTATCAGAAAATTAATTTTTATGGTGCACATCGAAAGCTGCTTTTATGGATTAGTTGGATACGTTTTATACAGATATTAAAATTACCTCTACATAGAAAATAATTGAATTATTTTATTTCCAAGTTCTTATTATATGAAGGCAACTAATATTGCATTTTATGACTCATTTTTTTATTACCATTCACAGAAGTGTCTTTTCTTATGAAATAGTGTTGCACAGAATGTTTTACAAAGTAATTAAGTTATTCGTAAAGTAAGTTTATATATTGAAGCATTACAAGCCATTTGAGAATATATTCTTTAAAAATAATGGCTTATAAAGTATTCTTAAAAATATTGCATTGCAAGAAAGGACTTATTTAAGTACTGTATAGAATTAAGGATTATTTTTCGGCAAATGAGGCTTCACCGATATAATTGTGGTGGGTGGAAAATTTTTCGTACTTGTTTTGCTACCTGTAATAAAGATTATAAACGCAGTTCTATAAAATTAATTTTAACGCTATAGGTGTCCTTTTTTTCAGTAACTAAATATTTTAAATCGCACACAAGTCAAAGACCTTACTATTTTCGGTGAAATACTTACGACTACACTGTGAAAGATCATTTATTTTGATGTTCTACGTCTTTTCATTGCAAATAGACTCTCTATGCCAAATAGAATAATTTATGTTCTCAGGTTAATGTACTGAGATTACGTGCGTGCAAAATTAACTCTACTTTTCTTATTTTAACAAGAAAAACTCGTAAACAAAAAATGTAGTTTCAGTCCATACTTAAAATTATTCAAATTTTTGTTCTATATGCAATAATACTTAATATTTAATTTTAGACCATCTACTTGTTTTAATTTTTAGTTTATTATTAATAATATTCGACAAATAGTTGTATGAAAAATAGAGTATAATTTTATGCCATAAAAATTCATCAGCTTTAGTAATATTTAAATAATACAATTTTTATAGGACCAGGAATGTAAAAAAATTTATTTCATATATTTATGTATTTGTTTATTAGGTAATGCGGGTACATAAGAATATCCGAACCAAGTTAATTTATTTATTGGGTTAGAAAACTGAGCAAAAACGCTTGTATCAACACGTTATTAAGAAATAAATAAATTACACAAATGCATACGTAAGGCAACAAAAATTAGATAATAAATACGTGAATGAGTATATGGACAACTAATATAATAAACCAATATAAACATACCAGGACGTAAATCAGTAAATTTGAAATTGAAAATTCTTTTTTTTCAGCTATTGTTTATTTATAGTTCCATTTTGAATTAATGTATGTAATAATCAATTTACAAATTTATTTATCCCTGTATTTTTTAGTTGAGATATTAATTTGTTAGTTTGTTTGTGTCATCGTGTACGGAATATAAAGTGAAAGTAATGATAGTAAAAATTTCAATGACCAAATAAACAGTTCTACTTGATGAAAACTGCGAAACAGCAAAATTGATCACTAAATCATGTTACATACAAAATGGTGGTATGAAAAAATAATAATGCACATAGAAATGATATAAATAACCGTTGCACTTCTTTTTGCAAACTGAAATTTGAGCTTAAAATTTCATATCACAACAGAAAATACAACGTTGTCTTATCTATTTTCTGTGTAAAGAAAATTTCATTCTAACTAAACAAAGAACACATTTATTTTTTCATAATTTCACAAAAATAAAAACTGTTGTTTATACTTTCAGTTTATTTTCAACCAGTAAAGAATTTCTGAACGAATAAGAATTTCCAACGTAAGTATTTGCTAACATAAATTTACCAATAATCAATAAAAATTCCACGCAAATATTTCCACGTGTTTAGAAAAAGCTGCATAATACTTGAAATTTGTTACGATTACTTGAAAAATTTCGATGTTTAACTTATAAAAATAAGATTCATCAACAAAAAATATCAATTAGTCACTGAATATTGTCGGAATCCAAAAAATACCTGTAACTCATTTTTTTCATGAATAATTGACATTTTTTATAAAAAACCAACAAAAAAACGGTTTTTCTTCACCCGTACTCGTAAAAATTTGCTCTTCCGCAAAAAAAAAAAATAAGCAAACCATCACTCGACCCACATTACCTAAACGCGCAAAGAATATCTCAATCCACGTTGAAACCCACTTAAAAAGTAAAAAAAAAAAAAAACCTTCAAGCCGTCAAAGAATGCCAAGCACTCGAAACGAGAGAGGCATGCTAATCGAAAGGTAAAAAAAAAAAATAAAAAAATAGTAAGGCGAAAACCAAGAGACTTGCCTTGCAGCTGTGAGATCGTCGCCTGGTACTCGGCCAACTTTTCATCGACGTAATCCTGGCTCTGGCTGGCTATAATTTCGGCGGTGCTGGGACCCGATTCCTCATCGTCTGTCCCACGGCTCGGATCGAGCGGCACGCCGACGTACTCGTACTCACCCGACCGATACGGAGCGATCAGGTACTCGGGCGGGCCACACGGCTGCGGTGACTGGGGCGTCTCACCTATCGGCGGACTCTGCAAGACACCAGGAATAGACTAATTAATAACATCCCCCTGCTGTACGACTTAATTTTGTATTTCACATAGACCGATTTTCCTCACAACTTTCGCTCGCTCGGACGAGCCATACGTGCTACCCATTGTCCGTATGGGACCGGCCTCACCTGGAGCTTAAAATAATCAAAATAAAACGAACCAACAGCCCCGGCGTGACTTCAGTAGAAATAGAGATGTAACCGAAATTGGAGTTTAACGATTATTTTAAGATTTTGCATAATACACGTGGATGCCTAATAAAAAAGAAGTTTGCAATTCATTGTAACGGCAAAACAAGTCATCACTGTATACGAGGGTCAATGCACTGATGATTTGTCCGTGTAATAGGCACAACGCGTCAAGGTGGTTTCGCGATGCATTTCTTCGTTGAAATCAGATTTAGGAAATAAACAAAAGATGTATATGCGTAGAACAATCCTCGAATTTACGAAGTGCAAGTGATCATGCAACGACTCTTCAATGAGTCTATTGAGAGAAAAGTCTCACCCTCGGCGGTATGGGCTGCTGGACGGGAACGAAGGGTCGAGCCGTGGAGTTGCCAGGCGAGGACCACCTGGGCCTCTGCGTAAAACCCGGCTGTCCACCGAAAACCGGCGAGGCGATGGGCGACATCGGCACCGGACTCTGCGGATGGTGGTGCATCACACCGGGCGCGTAGTAACTGGGTGGACCGCGTAGCATCTGATGGGACAGTTGTTGCTGGTACTGGCCGGCCGGGGGGCTGAACGGAGATGGTGGTCTGACGGGACTGGGAGCCGAGTTTCGGTTGGTGGGCGGCCATCCGCTTGGTCCTCCGTAGGGGCCCTGGCCACCCCGCGAGGGATGCTGCGACATTGCTTTTTGGCTCGGCTCTACTTTTCAGCCGTAGGTTGGGACGACGACGACGACGCTGACAGCTCCTCTGGCATCTCTGTAACGAAAAATACTCGTGAACTAACAAAACTTTGATATTTTTTTCATACGAGTTATTTTAAACATATACATGTATGATCAAATACGGACACTTACGTGATAATATATACAATGTCGTACAAAGTGTACTCTCTAAATTTGAAATAGTGAAAATTTCACTATTAGCGTAAGTACTTAAATAAGATTTTCACTGGCAAAATAGTGAAAAATAAGGATCGTTTATTCACGCCCAGTTGACATAAATTTTAATTATAAATATTTATCAGCAATCCAATGATTATGATCTTAACTCGAATGAAGGGAATTTTACAACCCATACACATTACTTCGAGTGGTAAGTACCAACAATAAGTTAACCAATGCTTATCTAAACTGTAGAACGTTAACTTGGGAGGGATTGTGAATCCACTATTTCACAGTAAATGTGCATTAGTTAAAATAAGTTATAAGCATACAACTCGGAAATAGTGGAATTGCCCGTTTTTTGCTGTTTGAATAGTGAAAATTCACTATTTTACAGTGGTATATGCACTATTTTGAAAAAGTCGCATATACTGATCACCATCTCAAATGTAAAGAGTAGTTGGTGGGTCAAGCAAAAACAAACGGGTCACAGATTGAGACGTGCAAGTTAATTTTGAGGTAATCCCTGTAAACTCGGGTAGCCAAAGGTTTATATAATTCAGTGAGCTGAGCGTGGTGAATCTCACCAGTGGCCGCCCAACGGTTTGACTACAAACTCGTCGTGCCACGTGTTGCTGTTTCCGTTTGCGCTGGGATGCAATAGAAAAGACGATGGCCTGTGATGTAACGCGTGTGAGAGATCGTCCGGGAATAGAATGAGCGTGGCCTTAGTAGACATTGACTAGACGCGCAAAGTCCCCTTTGTACGCAATCATGTCGCGAATTAGCAGTTATGGTACGGCTTATTTTTTTATTTTTTTATTATTTTTTTTTTTTCTTCATATTTCAATTATTTTAAAAACAATGTATTAGTACAGAGATGTATTGTTTTGTATTGTGTAACTAAGCGGTAGACCATAGTGGGTAAAATATTCAATGCAATTTGTGTTCAAAAATACTATTGACTTTTTACGTGATAAAAAAAATTGTTTTATCGATTAATGGTATTCGTTCCATTTCGATTTTATCATATGAATATATTATGTCTGACAATGCACATCTATTTATGCTCATATTATCGTATACATGTGTAACGTATAAAACAATTGATATTTTCTCTTAAAAAATCATTTGCCTTGTTGTGTCCAAGCGTTAAAGAATTTTGTAAATATCAAGGATTAATAAATTATTGTTAGGAATGTATAAAGGGGTACTTGTATAACGCTTGACTTGTTATTGGGCTTGACTGATTCGCAGTAAAATGTATTATATTTTCATTGGATCAAAAATCTTAACCGTACATCAATGGTATACTTTTATTATAAGCTTTCAGATAAGTGCAAGAAATTTAAATCCAGTTAAGCTCTTCAGATGGTAAATTTTCAAACATGACTGCTTGACAGAAGTGCCTTATACCTTATATTTTTGCCAGAGCAAAGGGTGTGACCACCACTTGAGAAGAGATGTGAAAAGACTATCTTTAAGATTCTATATCTGATTAAATAAATAATTATAGCTTATGGATAATAATAGTTAGCATATTAAGCATAATGTGAAGATTTCTATAAGGACAGATGGGTCAGCTTCACACTGACCCAAGTGCGAAAGGCACACAAAAATTTTTTTTTTTTTAATTCACGCTTACATTATTTTGGTTGATGCATATCAACCTTTTTATATAATTATTTATGTGCATATTTTTATGCTGTATTCTCTGATTTTCTAAAAATTGTAGAAAATATTTTAATTTGAAAAAGTTAGTTTTTTTTGTTACTACTTATTTTTTAAATTTATTTGTGGTTAAAGAAAGATTATAGACTTAAGTATTCTACGCTGTAGTAATACACGTCTATATTTGAAATGTAATATTTTTTGAGTCAATAACGATGTACAACCAAAACATCTGAAAACTGATGTAATAGTTCTTATATTAATGAATTTAAAAAAAAATTAAACTTAACTAATATAGTGATATTTTTTGCTCTGATAAAAAATGTAGCAGTCAGGCCTTGTTGCAAAAATTAAATTTTGCCGATTGTTATTCGTTATAAAATGTTATCGTTTGTAACCACAGAATTTTTATTAAAAAGGAAAACATTTGCAGCTTTTTTACTGTCAAGAGCTGAAGAGAAACATTATATTTTTAACAATAACTTTTGAAATAAAAGTTTTACACTTACAGGATACAGGACGAAATTATACATATACATAAGTATCTCAGCGAAATACGACTTTTTTGTAAGTCAGACTTTTCTCTTAGGAGGATACTTTCTCTTTTTCGATTGAACATAATATTACTAAAAATGATTAAAAATTTCGTTTCTACCCATAATAGTGAGAAATTGACTTTTTAACACTGTTAGAAATGGAAAATTAATGGAGCAATGGATTTTTTTTTACATGCTAATTTTTTTTAATAATCAGCTTTATTCTAGGATAGCATGCAGATATATAATAGGTGTACAAATCTTTGAAAGCTGAAAAAATCCTGTTTTTTAGTTATTTTCATAGGAAGTTCTACAACCAACTTTTTAATGCCAAAGTTGTAGATTACAGAAAAAACAGCATCTTACTTTTTTTTTATCTCTAAAGAACTGAAAAAATTTATTTAAAAGGTTGTAAATAGAAAAAAAATTGTTGATCATTTTTCTTTGCAATGTCATTCAAATACTCTAAAAAAAAATTATTTTCAATGTACCAAAAAATAGTTGAACAAGAGACAACGTTTCAGTTTGCGTTTAAAACAAAGTATGCAACCAAAAAACTTTTTTAGAAGATTTTTTAAAAGTACAGACTTTTTTCACCCAGAAAATCATTTTGATGTAATTATAATTTTTGCTCTAACGATTAAAGAATCAGTCTAGCCTTATGAGGTAGCGAAGTATCTTAATAAATTTAGTAACTTGTTTTTATCAAGAAATAAAAATTTTTTAAAGTAGTATTAGTTATTTTTTTATGAAATTAAATTTATTTCTAGAACTTACATTATTTTGTATAATATAGTACTAAAAAAATATTAGAGACTTTATTCTTCGAAAATGTCAATTCAATAGGTTATATTTCAGTCGTATGTCAGTTTTATTGTCACAGAAAAATCAGCGATATTTGTGTAATTATTTGAATTTTAAATTATTATTGCAGTTTACCGGAGACAGCTTCAAAACATCATTAAAAGTAATATTTTTCGTAACCATCATGGAATAAATTATCAAAACAAATTAGCTATAGAGTGTCACCAATAATGACCATTAAAAACTAAGTATAATCATCAAACAGATTGACGTAGGTTGAAAAACTTTAAAAAAAAGAATCTTAATTTTTTTTTAAACGTAATATACAAATATATTTTAAGAATGGCCATGACTGCTTAAGGTTATAAATACACACTTGTTTTCTCACGAAGTATACAAAACCACTGGCTTCATATCAGGTGCATCTTGCATAAGACGTGAAGAATGAATAGTTGTGTATGTAACCTCGTTTTGTAAGTTCACGTGGTTTCTTTTCAATCTTGTCAAAGTCGTCTTCCCATCTCGCAGATTTTTACGATCCGATAATCGTTGAAACAAATTGTACAATTGATCACAAAACTTTGCGGTCAGAGTTAGTAAATTGAATTTTTTCATGTATATTTTACGTATAGCGTTTGAAGTTTTAAACTGTTAGCATATTTAACGTTTAACATACGTAATCTTATGGGGATTTCGAAAAATGTTTCCAACGACGGCTGAGATAAACTCCAAAAGAAGGATAGTATAAAACTTGCACGAAGCGAATCTCACGTTGAACAATTTATCTGCTTTTTTTTTTATTTTTTCACTGTTTGAGGTACCAAAACGTGCAAAATTATATTTTCATGACACCTCTAGATTAATTTTTTTTTTCACCCCATGTACCGTAAATAAGAAGAAAAACACAGAACTCAGGTATTAGCATGTAGTTATGTATTGCTATATTCGATTTTCGTGATTTGAAGAAAGCTTCAATTTCGTTTTTGTAATATTCCAAAAGATTGTCAGCAAAAAAACTTATGACCATTAAAAACTTGAGACAATTAGCAAAAATTTGGCAATTTTTTTAATTTTTGATTTTTTAGGGCTTTAACTTTTAAGTTTAGTTACTTTTTTAACTTTTCAAAGTGGAAATCGTAGCTCATCTCAAGAACTTTAATTTTCTTTTCTGGGCAACTCTCTACTTTGAAGCACAGTAACGTTGAAAAAGTGTACAAATATTTTTAACGCATTATTTTCACACTTTCTTACAATCTTTTTTGCTACTTTACAACAAAAATTTGTAGAAAATCGCTCTTAGTCAGGAAATAGCACATACAACATTAGCTGCACTTGATTTTTTTGAAGGTTTTTAAATATGGTCCCAGTTAAAAGTTTTTTTTTTTATTTTTTTTTTTTTATAAACCATAAGTGCGTTTAACTTTTAAATCTGGGACAACATTAATTTTTTCTTCAACTCTGCAGATTCTACAGAACGTGAAAAATTAAAAAAAAATTTTTTCTCTATGCCCTTTTTTTAAAGCTTTTAAAAGCAAAAAAGCTAATAAATTATGAGATTATTGTGGATTTTTAGCTCATGTTTCAAGTTAAGAACTCTCATAACTTTTGATATTGACAATATTTTGGGGGTACTTAAAAAAATAAAATTAAAGCTTTTTTTCAAGCACTTTATTTTAATTTTTTTAAGGAACCCTCTGTGACTCTTTTTTGTACTTTTTTGGTACCCTAAAAAGTGAAAAAAAAAGGACATTGCTTCAAATAACATTTTTTGTTTAACCAATAAACTTCTACTACTTCCATCCAGTAAAAATTGCCATAATAACAAAGTTATAAGTAAAAGAGGATTTTAAAAAATGTTGATAAA